TCTGAACAAACTGCAGTATGTCCAAAATTCAGCAGCCAGAATCCTGACCAGGTCTAGTGCAAGTGTTCACATTACTTCTATCCTGGAGTCCTTGTACTGGCTTCCAGTCAAATTCCGCGTAGACTTTAAAATCCTCATGCTCACCTATAAGGCTCTACATGGCTTGGCACCTCAATACCTGTCTGAACTTTTATCGCCCTACTCCCCACCTCGCAACCTCCGCTCTTCAAATTCTGCCCTCCTTACTGTCCCCCAAGCCCGTCTACATTGTATGGGCGACAGGGCCTTCTCCTGTTATGCCCCCAAGCTCTGGAACTCTCTCCCCAAGGATATCAGAGAGTCACCTTCTCTAAACTCCTTCAGTTCCAGACTCAAAACCTTCTTCTTTAGAAGAGCCTTTACTTAACTGGTTCCATTCTTCACCCCTCTGCTCTTCTTAGTACCACCTTCCACGGTCTCCTCTGTTGTTGTTGTTGTAATTGTAATTGTGTCTTATCTTGTGAATTCTTCTTATTTATTGTTGTATTCTTCTTATTTTTTGTTATTGTCATCCTGTAAAGCGCTTAGAGAAGCCACCTTTAAAGGCGCTATATAAAATAAAGTTTATTATTATTATTATTTGTATATCACTAGAACACGTTTCAGCCAGTACTGAAAGGGTAGCATTGCAAACACACAGCAGGCGGTCTTCCACACAACACGCATGTAATTGCAGATACTCACATAAGGCAGTGCTGAACAAGACTGAGGAATTTTTTTAAGGGTTCACATAGTTCTCCTTTGTTTCGGAGCTAGTAAATATGGCCAAAGATTCAAACGGTATAAAAACAGGTAATAATTGATCATTCAGGCTAAACTAATTCTTTATAAGTTCTGTTAGCTCTCTTAGAACATAAATATTAAATAGTGACCAGAGCCATTGTCATTGAGGTCATTAAGACAGTTTCAAGTCAGCAATAGGACATCAAACATACGGAGGGAACTAAGGGGAAAGAGCAAAGGACAGAGTGAGGAAGAATCACAGAGTAAGACTGAAGGAGAGAGAGGACCTTTGTTCCACAGACTGTGTAACTGGAGCCCTGAAACAGTACTGGACTCGGGTTTAGTCCTGATTAGGATCCATGTTAATTGGGACACAGGTTCCCTTCTTGTCTTCATGGTTTTTATCAGTTACAGGGAGAATTCTGTGTTTCACAGCATTGGAAATATCTGTACATAGCTACAACGTCTGTGTGTGGTGTATTTTGTGGTGCATATCTGCATTATTATGTTTGCCACCTTTTTGTGAGTCTTTTATCAAACTGTACTGAAGAAAAACAAAATCAAGTGCTGTCACACTCGTTTTTTTTCCTTACCCTTATTCATAACGGCATCCATTATGACATTGTTTTGTAGCGTTACAATGCAATTGTAATATACTGTGGCACGTGCTAATTTTAGCATGTTTTTCAGGAATTGTAATCATTATTATAAGTGTATACATTATGCAGGCAGTGTTGTATATACATATACTTTGATGTAACGTATAGTTTCTTCCATCTGTTTTCACTGTCTTTTTGTAATCTTTCTTGGCTGACTGCCAGTCCAATCTCCATAACTATTCACAAAAGCATTTTAGTCCGAGTCCTGGAAAATAGAATGAACCAATTAACCACAAACCAAGAAATGCTTGTTTTTATTTTATCTGTAACAGTTTGGACAGAAGTCCCATGTTGAATGTGCACGCTTCTCTCCAGACGGGCAGTATCTGGTCACTGGTTCAGTGGATGGATTCATTGAGGTGTGGAATTTCACTACTGGCAAAATCCGAAAGGTAGGTTGATGTTAGCCAAGCTGCATAAAAGGTTTTTAGATCTTATGTTAATCTCGCTGGAATTCAAAGTTACGTGGCTTCTTGAGATTTTGAAATCAGTCCTGGTAAAACGTAAATGTAGGCTAAACCCAAAACTATGACTTTAAGTCCTCAGTAGTATCCTATACTTTCATAAGCAGTGAAACACTTTCAGGAATGCACACAGAGGTGTCATATAGTGAATTGTTGCTGTTCTTAAATCAAGCAAGAGAGTAGCTGTGTCAGTGTGCAGTACTGAAGCCTTGTTCCTAATCTCTGCCCTGTTCTAGCAGATAAGATCTGTTGCAGACGAGAGGAGACCTATGCCCCATCTTGCTCATTTGGTAGTTTAGTAGCTAAGTAACGGTGTGGTATCAAGGGACATTTCTCATCTTTTCTTTAGGATCTGAAGTACCAGGCCCAGGACAACTTCATGATGATGGACGACGCTGTGTTGTGTATGTGTTTCAGCCGGGACACTGAGATGTTGGCCACAGGCTCCCAGGATGGAAGGATAAAGGTGACGCTGAGAATTTTCTTTTCCCCAGTCGTACGAACTCTAAGCTGCATGTAGTGTATTGTGAGTTTAGAGATTTGGAGCCTCATGTATAATGACAATTTCAACCAAATTTGTAATCCTTCTGAATATGTTCTGGGCCTGTGATTGTATGTTGTCAGTTTTTAACAACTGACCAGCGTACAAAAGAATTTGGGAATTGTGTATCAAACCTGTACAGGTTACCTTTGTATTTAGTGCTACATAAGGTTTTGAAATCGTCCCATCAATGGGTGTTTATTCTGCGTCCAATGTGAGGATTAGTGGTTAGTGCTCTGGACTTCAGCCTAGAGGTTTGTGGGTTCAATCCTGAGTGGGACACTGTTTTTGAATTCTTGACTGAAGTACCTTGCTCAGATTTTTCCCACTTAATGACTTGTTGTATAAATGAATACTCTCTGTGGGTCACTGTTTATTGTTTGTTTTTTCGCTTAAATTGATTGACCTAGTTTATATAAAAGAATCCATTCAAAAAGGTAATCTGATTTGGCAAGTTCTTTACCAAATACTAGTGGGTCAAATTGAAGGTAGTATGTTTCTTGAGTCTCCTAAGTACTTTTATGCGTTTATAACAGCTCATAAGTGGGTTATAGCTGCAGTGACCAGTGAAATGTGTGAATAAATGTGGCTCTATATTAAAATAATTAGGGGTGCCAATGGCTTCACATCATAATGTATTGTGTATTTTATATTTTATTATAATTTAAACCTAATACCACAGTAATGTTGCCAATGCAGGAAAAGTGCAGTCAATTAAAGGTAGCTGCAAGTGCAAGAACTGTCAAAGATAAGATGAGATAAAGCTATTCTAAAGATTCTGATCAGAATGTTTTTTGCAAGCTTTATCATCTTGATCTTGACTCTGTAATCAGCATTTTCAGAGATGGACGTGCAGTTCTTCTTGAATTGATCACCTGTTTCAGTAAGGATGATTCCTCCAACTCCGTTTCCTCCTGAATCTCAGGTGTGGAAGATCCAGAGCGGCCAGTGTCTGAGGAGGTTTGAGAGGGCTCACAGCAAAGGAGTCACTTGTCTGAGCTTCTGTAAAGACAGCAGCCAGCTCCTCAGTGCCTCTTTTGATCAGACCATCAGGTATAACCACAGCTGTTTCTACCCCTCTACCAATACATGTTTTGCATATTATATTCTCCTGAACATAACATTTCCGTTTTTCTTCTCATAAAGTCATCTTGACAGTAGGAGCCTAGTAGTGAATGTTTTATGAACTTGCACACACATGCCTGATCTCTTATAGATTCCACTTGAGTCCTCTGGTTCATGTTTCGCTGTATATTCTTACAAGATCTTACGAAATGAAATATGACTGTATCTGCTTCTTAAAAATTAGTATTAACAAAAATGAGCATCTTGACTTATCCCAAACGAAACCTTTTGTTTGTAGACCTCGGAGCTCAAAAAAGCATTAGTTTTTTAGTTTCGCGTTGAGCTTGAGATGCTGCTTTTGTGAAGGTCGAAGCTTTTAAAAAATAAAATGGCATGCAATGTGTGTTTTTCAGAGTCCATGGGCTGAAGTCTGGCAAGACCCTGAAGGAGTTCCGTGGTCATTCGTCATTCGTGAACGAAGCCACTTTCACACAGGATGGGCATTACATAATCAGCGCTTCTTCTGATGGCACAGTTAAGGTAGAGTCACTAGTAGTTTGTCATTTCCCTGGGGCAAAGTAAGGGCTGTGTTCCGGGGGGGATCTTTAGACCAGGTATAGTCTAGAGTTTGAAGAGCTAGACCCTTATTACCCTTCAGTGAAATGCTGAAACTATACATCTCTTTTGTTCTTAAGTTGGTATATAATCGCATACATTAAGTTGAGGTTGATTTGAAGGTTAAAGATGGTTTGCAAAGCGTGTGTCATGATGGGCTAAGCTCCAAGAGCTTTTCTGTCAACGAGCAGTGACTCCCATCTCAGACATGGCAGATCTCTCAGACTCTGCATATCGGTCAGGAGTCGCTGGCTTCACAGGAGCATCTCTACTTTCTTCCTGCCTGCCTTTCCTGTTTGATGTAAGCTCAAACAGCAAAAAATGTGGAAACTTAGGTGAATGTTTTTGCAGGGCCACTATAAACTTTCTCCTGCTCATTCAATACTGATGTGAGGGCGAATCGCCTTTCTTACGGTTCAATTTCATTACAAGAAGTACATTAAAATAATTTGCTGTAACTAATGCTTTTCTTGTATAAGACCTCCAAAATGCTCATAAGAACAATAAAATGATTGTTTTAAAAATAGCTTTTAATGTGTTCAGGCTGTAGAGAATGTCCAGTTAATTTTGCTTCCAGACTTGGTATATTATTGCTATATTTTAGCAGGAATTCTTACCCCGAGTTTCCCTATACGCAAGAGCAGGCAGAACTTTGGGATAGATGACAGAGGATATCATTTCAGAAACTGAGTGAAATCCAGTTCTTTTTTGCTGAGCATTGTCAGCCTATTTCTAACATTAGTTCTCATCCTCAGGTCTGGAACATGAAGACCACAGAGTGTGTCAATACTTTCAAGTCACTGGGCACTACAGCTGGCACTGACATCACTGTTAACAACGTCATCTTGCTGCCAAAGAACCCTGAACACTTTGTGGTGTGCAACAGGTCCAACACAGTGGTCATCATGAACATGCAGGGCCAGGTGAGACATCACAATATCCAGGAGAAAAGTAGAAGGAAACTTCAAATTCCTTCCTTAAAATTATTATATTTAATTTCATAGCTGCTGGTCTTGTTTTACAAATTGATGAATATGGTCCTTTTTGATTTATGAATTTCACACAGAGGCATACTGTATGTCTCATGGGCAGACATGGAACAGGGTTATTCCAATACTGGGGTGGGACACCAGGAGTAGAGGGAAATGAGTAACTTTCAGATACTGACAGAATGAGTTGGGTAATTAGTGTCTTATGTGATAAACTCCCTACATATTACAGGTGGTCCCTGTTAAATGTTGCGATGGATAGCGAAACGATGTATGAAGGGAAATTGTTCCCTATAAGAACAACATGGAGGGTTCTGGACTGTAAGAGTGCAAGTTTTGCTAATGTGACTTAAAGTTACAGGTCTTTTAATTATGATGGGTGTGTGTTCCACTTGTAACCACATACAGTGCAGAGGGCCCTGTTGTAAGTCCAGGTTACATTCCTAAATAATGCAACCTAAGGGGAAATGGTTTTGGAGAATTAATATCCGTAAGGAGTAATTAGTCTTGAGGTATGTTCCCAACTAACTTCAGACGTGGGTATATACAATTAATGTACTTGTAACCCTTAAAAAAACTGAAGTAGATGGCATCACCAGCTGCCTTAGAATAGCTGTCTCATTGAAAACACCCATTTTGCTGCTTCATTGCAGATTTGTTCATCCATTCATAATGTTAGCGATCAAACCTTGATTCTTTGGTTAGATCAGCGACTTACTGCGTGGGGGTAAGAACTCTAACTTAATGTTAGGGTGTACTGATCCATAATGTAACCCAAGTGTTAACGGCTTTCTCTACAAGAAAAACATTTTATTAAGTGAGATTGTGCTCTTTGCAATTTTTTTCATTTCCTGGCCAAAATAATGCACACACCACCAACCATGCCTGCTTTTGGTACCTTGAAAAACTACACAAGAGTGGGAATTGAAGCTCGTCGATTCATAAACAACTTAAACGCGAAACGATGTAAAGCATGGTCACTTGTAGCGTCTCGGCAAGGCATTTTCCAGTGACGTGGGCTGTTCCTTTCTCCCAGATTGTAAGGAGCTTCAGCTCTGGTAAGAGGGAAGGTGGTGACTTTGTGTGCTGCACGCTGTCGCCTCGTGGAGAGTGGATCTACTGTGTGGGAGAGGACTTCGTGCTGTACTGCTTCAGCACTGTCACTGGGAAGCTGGAGAGAACTCTGACGGTAAGCGCCCCCCCTCTGCCGCCTGCGTCACGCGGAAGATGCTGTCTGTGTTGACATCAGCTGCACTGCAGTATACTTGGAAGCAAGAGGATAAAAGAGACCTCATCAGCACAGCATAGAGCAGTCACTCCAGCTACAGTTCTGCTTAGCCCTAATAAGTACAGTTTAACTTCATATGATTGGTGTTGAGCTCAGCGCTTAATGTTTTAAATGTTCTATATGTGATACTGAAATGTGACTATTGGGAAAGTACCACTGCAGTTCCAATCTGAGTTCATTTAATTACTGCTCGAAAACCAACTTCAGCCTTTCTGGTGGTGCCAAAAGAATTTGGCATTATCATTTGTTTGACATATGGTGAACGTTGTGAAGTAAAAATGGTAAGGCTTGTGAAAACTAAAGAAATGGTCTTTTAGATGCTGTAGTGCCCAAGGCAGTGGTCATCATTCAGTCTGTGTGTGTTGGCAGGTCCACGAGAAGGATGTCATTGGCATTGCGCACCACCCTCATCAGAACCTTATTGGCACATACAGTGAAGATGGGCTGCTGAAACTCTGGAAACCTTAGCTGGGCTCTTTCTCGGACTAGTGGCGGGTGGGGGGCCCTGCTTTATATTTTCATCTTTTTCTGTTTTTGTAGGATAAGATCTGGTTAGATGTTCTTCTGTTCCCACATAGGAGATGCATGACTATTTTATAACAGATATCAAAGGATGCATACAATCTCTTTGATTTTCACGTTTTTTTTTACAAACCCATGTGTCCATTTCTCGCAAACTGATGGGGTAATGTTCCTCTTTTTGTTGTAATATATGAGCCGAAGTGCATGACTTTTTACAAGATAAAAATGACAGGATGTCTCAGTGGCTTCTTAAACTCTGTAACTCATTTCTCTGCCCATTCCAGATATTCAGTTTTATTGATTCTTGCTTTAGTGTTGTAATGTGTGAAGCCTTTAAAGTTAACTTAAATTACCAACATTGTCATGCAATTAAAATCTGACCAGACGTATTTTAATGCTTTCAGAATGTGATTATTTTTCTCCTGCTCACAAACTACATTGCTGATAGATGTGTTCATGACTTCAGATTTACTTTAGTATACATTTCCGGAACACATGCTATAGAACATTTAAGGTTTAAAGAGCTGTTTAAGAGGCAGAATTAATTTTCTGATTGCCAAATGCTCAAGCTCTTAAAGCAGCAGGAAGTGTGGAGAATTACTTCAGTCAACCATGGTTTTGTTTTTCTAATGAGGACTGTGAGAAAGTTTAGTTGTGTAAGGCCTTATCTATTGTGACTTAAAACATGGAATTACGTTGGTACAGTTTTAGGTACTTTCAGATAATATGTACATTAGATAACCATATGTTTGTTGAATGTTCAATTTCTGGTACTTGACAAAATAACCTGAGTCTGAAATCTTTGTGTCTGAACAAGTATCCTTCCTATTTCAAGGGAAGGATACTATTTCTCTATTCCTCTTTTACCCTTTCCTATGCCTATTCAATATGCCCTTTCCCCAGCTCACTACTTGGTTTCCTGCTGGACGTGGAACTGTCCAGTTACTGTAACACATTAAGCTGAGACGGTGCTCTGGTATTTTTTTGCACTTAAAAGCTATTTGAGCAGTTCTAGGGGAAGTGGCTTATTTGTGGAACAGCAGTGGAATATAGCATATTAATCAGTGCATTTTCAGCAGAAGCTAAAACCAGTCATTAAAGCTCTTCCAATTTCATCTGAGTAATGCAAAGCAGGGAAATGCCCATGGATGCCTACCAACAGTTAGAAAAGGAATTAGGGGCTGAAGGTGACTTCCTTAAGCCACAACTTCAGAGCAGTGGATTATGTCCTCCAAATATTCTGTTCACAGAGCTGGTCAGGTGAGTTGTTCCTAGAAACCCTAGGTGCATCATTCTGCACTTAACACAGTAATTGTGATACCTCAGTAAACAGTTCTTTATGGCAATATGAGGGACAGCTTTTGAAATGTGTATGTATCTATCAAGAAATATTTGTATTGAAGTTTGATCTGTGGTAGTCAAAAAAGAACACTGGAGGGTCAGATGCCAGATAAGTTTTCACAGTATCAACTGTTCAACTTGTACACCATGAGCTATAGTCCACAAAAAATTGAATTACTATATACACCCCATCCCTTCTCTGTGTATTAGGCAATGAGTGGCCTTATTTTACCACAGATGTCAGAAGTGTCAGCCAATTTACATGGGCATTAATATTTTCACTTTGTAAAAGACCAGACATGGAATAAACTGTGCTTAATTTTAATTAGAATTATATACAAATCCAAACAATGAAATACTCGGTCCTACCTAAAGCTGACAAATTCTGTGATACAGCAGAGCTTAGAAACAGTTCTTACTTATCAAGTAAGAATTCACAAGGCCATTCAAGCTGGTAAGATAAAACATTTTTGAACTGTAAGTTCAACTTCCACTCCAGTACTCCACAAATCAAGACCTGTTAGAAGTGATAAAGCACAATTCAGCACCTCCATTGCTTAAAGAAGAGACATTAACCTTACACCATTCATATTTCATGGAGAACAGTGTGTAAACTTGAAAAAATAACATTTAAAACCACTCAAGTCTAATTTACAAGGACAGAATAAAAATTAAGACCTGTTTCCAAGCACTCTATCACATATTCTTGAAGAAGTTAAGCATAATCTCAGACCCTGAAGCCTGCCACACATCTACTTTAAGACAAGGGCATCCACATCTGGACTAAAGATGGAAATAAAAGTACATAATTAAAATAAGTAATTTGTGTGACATACATATTACTCAAGGGGAGCAAAACTGAAAAGCTCTTAAATGATTAACTGTGATATCTATATTCTTAGTACAAAAAAAGAGCATTTCCAGCTTAGTTTTACAAATGTAATTCTCACACTTATGCACATCTGACTGGCATTTTGCAATATGGTTAAAATAAAAAGTGTTATTGCATGAACAAAGATTTGGCACTAGATTTAGTACCCAAATGCATCCAATGGTTTAAGGAACAAGAATGTGATATTTAGAATAAATGCCTGCTAAAGTGTTACCTTGAAAAACCTAAAACAATGTCCACTATCCTTGGACTATACCGATAACCTCGGGCTCACATTAGATCTCACTTGCAAGATGAAATGGATTTATGACACAAGAATGTCTTATAAGAAATGCTTTCTGCCTGAAGCACACAATCATAGAGGCAGGGACAGTCCATTGTACAGCTTCAGCTCTACCTACCTTCCCCAGTTAATGGAACACAGGGCCCCATTCTTCTCCCTACCAAATAAGCAGCCAGGAGATTCTTATTACAGCATTTCGTAGTCTACCCCAACATGTACCTTGTCTTGGGTATCAACCTTAGAAGTTACTTAAAAAGAATATGATGCATCCTGTTAGCTTAACCTACAGCAATACTCAGACATATGACTAAATTCCCATCAGGCATTTGAAACCAAGGTCAGGGACCTAACATGAATAAAATAATTGATTTTTTATGTCCATGGCAATTGATGGGACATCATACAGTGCAACTTCCACCATATGTAGTTTAAAAAAAAATCTTAAAAAATGTGGTAACTCTGACTTATTTTCCTTTACAAAAAAGGTAGAAGTTACACATTTGTGCCATTTCTGCGACAATTATGTTATGTTTCATTTTGTCCTTCACTGAACATCCATAAAGTATAGCTGACAGGAGGGTTAAGCCAGTTCTCCAATGGCGGTCTTGACGTATGCCTCAAGAGGTTTGGCACTGCACACCTCCAGAGGAATGGTATTCATCGTCATCAAAGTGTGGCCTTTCTTGTGACAAATCACAGTCCTCCAGGTCTGCATAGATATAGAGATCGTCCATGTTCTCGGTGTCATCAGTCTCTTCCCTCTCAGGTAAATATCTCTCCAGCTGTGTCAGTTTGTCCAGTGGGAGAAAGTTCTCTTCTGGAAAGTTCACCTAATTTAAACACCAGAAAGTAACACATACTGGATTCAAAATGTGGTATATATGCACAACACAATACAAATCATTTTAATATTGAAATTTCTCTTGACATTTGTTTGTAAGGTATTACTCGTATAGTAAATAAGGACTTGCATAAAACATGACAATGAGGTGTATTTTGATCCCATCTTTCCTGTTTGGTAGTTTAGCAGTTAAAGTTCATTTCAGAAAAGAGACTAAAGTTTTGCAATTAATGATGTGCCTGGGAAGCCTGTTTACTATAAAGACCTGTCCCCCCCCCAATTCACCACTTTAATTTTTAATTATGATCCTTATGTCCATGGTTCACAACAGAAAATGAAATAGTTAATTTATACCCCCTAGGATCTTACTTTACTCAAAACATCTCTTCTAGATTGAAGTGTACCAATCCCCTGAGAGCAGGGATCATTCTTGCTGCTCTGTTTTGAGCAAAGTAAGCAATTTGCATTACAAGACGCTTTGTAAGGGATGTGCATGATGATGATGATGATGCACAATTGGGGAAAAAAAGTCACCCCCATCAAATGCTAACCAATGCACACAGTGGTGCGATCTGCACCACTGGAGTTTGTATGTTTAATGCAGATAGCGCCACATCCATACAAATGGATGTTTATATTCACTATAGCTACCAATTAAGCTATAAACTGTGTCAAAGTCCAATACTAACAAGAATTGAAAGGTCAGCATTTGACTGTATTGCATATTTCTTGCACCTCTAGTTTTCTGTATTTTTTCCACATTGACTCAGGCAGCAACAAAGTTTAAAATGTTCACATACCGTGAAGAGAACAATGAGACGACCCTTCTCAAAAGGTCTGCGGTGAAATGGCATTCCCTCATTCATAATGCACTTGCGATCGCCAGGTCTAATTACCTCACCTGCAGATTGTGGGCAAGAAGTTGGCAAACATGGGTAATCGGTTTACATTCATCACATTTTGCAGCATACCCAATTTAGGCCTTTTCAGAAATGGGTACAAACACAATATCACAAAATCAATCTGAACTAGCTTGCAACTGGTTACAGAACAAAGGCTCTGAGGTTACATCTCAGCTACAGACATAGGAGTTAGAAAAACTGACAAAAACCATATCGACATCACACTGCAGCAAACGTACTGTTGGGCTGTCCAGGACACTGCTTTACTCGGAGCCAATGCTGGCTACTTGCCTAAGTAAAAGTTATGCAATGACTTCTCCCAACGAGGGATACATGACTTGGGGTCAAAACGTTACCTGTTGTTGAGGCTTCTTTTCCAGTGGCTAAGTGAATGTCAGCTATTTTTTTAAAGACTAATTCCATCAAACTGCGAGTGGAGGACGAAATGTCATCTTGTCTATTACTGCACAAAAGTAGTGGCACACCCTGTTCTATCATTCTGAGCAGGCTCAACTCGAAATGGGTGAAGTAAACTAAGGAAACCTTGGCAATACCACTGTTAATTCAAAGCTTAGAACTACTAAATGGATTTCATGTCATCTGCCCCAGTATAAAAATGACAGTATGAGGAACATAACATGTTCAAAGTAAACTAAATAAGGTCAACTTAGCAATACCTCAAAGCTTTGTATTATTAAATATTCCATGAACAAAAGTTGAAATGAGGTGATGGAATAAACATTTGTTAAAACTTCGTACCTAAAATACATACAGTAGTCCAATGATATGTTTTACATAAGATGAGTTTTAAAAGTTAAAATTTTACTAACAATCGGATTTTATTCACCCTGGCAACTTCTCTCCACTTTGACATGCTAGAGAATGAAACATCACCATTCTACATAGAATTGTTGGTAATTCCCTTTAATAATGTCCGCTCTGATGCGGACTTCAGAGAAGGTGATCATGAATACAAATTTAGAAATGGGACACCCCAAGCCCTTGCAGACTTAAATGGGAAAATGCATATGAAGGGCACAACATTGGATATTGCATATTGGGACACTGCTTCAGTTTTTCAGGTTTCTTCTGAGGCCGATTTACTGGTGTGACCTAAGCATTGAAGATTCTATCAACAGAATCACATTTTATATTAGCTAAATATGTGCAGTCAACTGTCATGTTCAAACTGGAATGACAGTGTTTGGGGGAATCAAATTGGAATCCCTGGCATCAGCAATCCTGACTAAAAAGGTTGGAATGCTTCCTTATTCCTTACATAAAAGGAACTGGATCTATTTTTTCTAGATTAGAAAATCTAGATACGCTTTCTAAAGTTCTTGACACCGTTGGGCCCCCATGGAACATGATCTTCAGTTCATCTTTAACCACTGTCAGCAATGGTTTGTAACAAATCAGTCATTAAGACGTAATCCAAAGTATTATCGTTTTTTCACAAGAAAAGAACCTTAAGGAAGCAGTCTGGGAATCATAGAAAGTGCATATGTGGGAATGAGGACTCTGCTGCCACAGATAAGTGTGACCAACAGAAGCAACTGGCACTTACCTGGATGTGAGGTTAGTAGAAGAATTCTGTCATCTAGGGTTTTAATGGGTTTTTGGAAACCACAGAGTGCCTCTACTAACTTTATCTCAAGGTTCATGATCAAGTCTTCTCCTTGCCTGGAAACAGAAATATTTCTCACTCATAAAGCATGCTTAAAGACCAGCATCTTTCACATGAGTTGCGATAAGGTTACCCTGCAGTTTTCCCACTCCAGCTAAAGGGAAAACACACAAACAAGGTTCCTTTAAAAGGTTTAAGGTTTTTGTGATAGAGGATGCAACTAGGTTCCATTCTGGAAGTTCACAATTGTCCACCTGAAATGTAAACCAGGCCATCATTTCAAAACTGTGTATATACGGTATAGGGGTCAATACTATATTTTACAACTTGTTTGGAAACTGATGGCAGTTTTCAATGGATTCAAATGCTTCTTTCCTCCCATTTATCATGGCTAAAAAGACCCAATCTCTTCACAGGCATATGCATAGATCATTGAACTTGACAAAAATCTAAATCCTTCCTGCAAATAAAGGAAGTCAAGGAGGCTCACCATCTCTGAAGAGACAAGAACCTCAAATCATGCTTGTTATTTTGATAGCTTCAATGATGTCCCTTATGAAGTGCTCAGACATCAAAAGTATTGCACATTCAAGAGTATGAGTGATGAGAATGACATTCAAATCACCTCCAGTCACCTATTTACCTTGTATATACAGGGTGCACTTTCTGATCCAGGACAATGATGATGTCTCCTGGCTCCAACCCCGGCTCTTGATCGCCCTCCCCATGGAAGGTGATCTTCTGCCCATCCTTCATGCCTGTCAACAATAGCTCGTTATTAGTTAATCTGGGTTAAAGACTACTTTGCAGGTTGATTGGCAAGAAGGCTCCTGGAAAGACTGTATGGAACAGAGAATCAACAGAACAAGTACAAAACTAGAACCGAGCCTCCATTCCCAAATAATATAGCAGATCGTGTTCCTCTCCTTACTGCAAGCGTGAACAGCAGAAGTGATCGGATCTGCACCGAGGTTCACTACACTTGCCAGAATCCTGTGCGCTTTTTCTCAACCCAGCTCCAAAGAATTGCAAGGCTCATTTCCACAAAGGAGCTGGTGTTAAGAGACCAAGACCGATTGACTGGTCGGTTAACACTGGGACCCAATGCATAACAGGTTTGATTCCAGACCAGAGTGATGCTAGTGGTCCAGCAGGTATCCTCTGGGTTGCTACCACCCTTACCAGGGTGCTCACCAGTAGCTTTCTGACAATGGTCAGATTCAACTAGCACAGTTTAGATAAGGAGGGGGTTATTGTGGATCCTAGAGGAGGCTGGTGCATCAGAAGGATTTCATTCCAGCTCCAATCAGAACTGGAGTAACAGGACCAAAGGTTTATCAATATTTTCAGTTTTTCGGGTACTGCTGCTTTAAAGAAACTAGAAAATCTGCAAGCATACCAGCCCAACAGAACCAGGATTACCCAACCTTGGTCCAAAATTTGGCAGGTACAACTACTCACACAATAATCAATTATCACTATGAATTACAAACAAAAAAAGTGACTGTTAAGACCACTACAGTAAAACATTTAAGCTTTTAATATACAGAGAAAAAATACCTTTGGCTTTTTAAAACTGAAGTCTAATGACCAATTGTGTTAAATGCAAGCTTTGTTTTCCAGATTACAGTGGAGACAAGTGAACAGAGTAACCACCAAGATCTGGTTTATACTACACCAGGCTCTGCACAAGCTGCTCAAATTGTATGATTCTGTGCTGCTACATTCCACACACAAGGCACTTTCCTTGGAATTCATTTTACAATAGTCATCCTTTATGGCTATCAGAATTCACAGGTTGGACATGTCCATTTAAGATAAAGCTTATTTACTTAGATAAGATAAGACACCCAATTGCCAAAATACTAGACTACTTAAAGGTAAAAGAAGAGACAATAATGTTACACTTCCAACACCACCACTATACAAAACAATCCTCAGATCTCAGTACTACCAAGATGCAGTTCAGTGCTATGAATTATCACACGCTTCACCAAGGTAATCCTGCTAAAAAAAACACAACACAACTACATTGCATACATTACAGAACCTCATGCAATGGATACCATAGCACATTCAAGCTGGTATTGCTGCTCAAAAAAACATTCAGTGATGGTTTCCAGCATTGTGGCCAGTGAGTACTTGGGTCTATTAAAATGGGAGCACTCATTGGAAAAGGATTTCTTTTACTAGCTTTCCCAAAACTTCTAAGCTTTATGATTAGTGATACTAAAATATTTTTTGCACACATTTACTTAATAAAAGGGGACATTAGGTCCCACTTCAACTATAAACATTGAAGAGTTTAAATCTTAGTCTGAGTGTTACACTTCTTACTGCCACAACAAATTGTGGCAGATGTTTAAACAATGTTTAAGACTTGGACATAGGTTAGAAGGGTTGTTACACCCATTCAAGCAGATTCCAACGTTTTCAACACCAAAACACTAATGTGATGCAAGAGGACTAGTTACAGAGGTGTCAGTTGTTGAAGCATCCACTTTACTTATATTAATATTAGTAGAATGCAGCCACAAATTTCACATCTTAGCTATGCTGGATAAGCAACCCTGAAAGCTGTATCTAACTACTCTCCAACATAACGGAGGCTGGCAGGCGGGGTGGGGAAACCGCCATTTCTAAAATGTGTAACCAAGTTCTCCATCTGCAAAATAGATGAACAATTCACCTTTACCTTAGGGAACAACTGGAGCAGCTCTACTAGCATTTCCATCCACTGGCAGCAGGTAGGTCTGTCTGCTATTGGACGCTGACAAGGTCATAGGCTCTCCCATGTCATACTTTCAACACACCTTCCTTGCAATAAAAGACGCGCCTAAATGCAAGTTGCACTATATTATACAGGATAAAGGAAAGGATAAAATACAGACACAATTAGCACCCGTGTCTATAAAAGTGAAGAAAAGATTAGCTCAGAGGAGTAAACAACTCATGAGCCTATGTTGTTTGTGAAGTCAAAGAAAGCCTTCAGGTGCATGTTACATGACTCTCGGGTACAAGCTGCATCACACTATAAATTCACAGTAATCGTGAAAATCTGAAGACTCGATACCCTCAAGCTTCTACTCAAAGTCATACCTTTGTCGATGTGCACTTCCAGGATCTTCTTCTGCCGCACAATCTTCCTTGCATTGCAGGCCTTGCACCGGTCTTTCTGGCTGATGCGCTGGCCCTGGCCTTGGCAGCCCACACATATCGTGGAGATCTGCTGCACCATCCCTGGCCCAATCTGGTGGAGCCGCACCTGCATGCCTGACCCGCGGCACATGGGGCAGCACTCCACTACCCCTCTCCTGCCCCCGCGTCCTGAAACACAGAGCGGGACACACCAGTCCAACAGCTGGTCTGCACCATGCAAGAATCCCACACGTCCCACCGCGCCTGCCCAACGTGCGCCTACCTTCACATCTGTCACAGATGACATTCTTCTGCACAGCAAGCTTCCTTGTGGCTCCGTTATAGAGGTCTTCCAAAGAAACCGTCAGCTGATGAACCACATTTTTCCCTGTCAAGGTGAACAGTTAGCTTTAGCAACCCAACAGTGCAATCCTGACCCTTACAAATTCATTGAGAATTCACTTCAACTAAGCATCTGAGCACCATTGTTTCACCCATGACCGAAGGTACAAAGAAAGTATGCAATAAGTAAAAGGGCTTTAGGTGATAATTAGCTTTATATGATCTTCAGTCTTACATACTACATGGCAAGCAGCAACCCGAGACAAGTACCTCTCCTCTCCCTGTGCATTCTTCCGCCTCCCCCGAAGAACATGTCAAAGATGTCCATTGGCGAGCCAAATCCACCGCCGCCCATTCCTCCCTCTTTGATGGCCTGTTCACCTCCACGGTCATACAGCTCTCTCTTTTTGGAATCTGACAGAACTTCATATGCCTGGGAAATCTGTTTGAACTGTACAGATGCACACAAAAAAAAATGGCGACGACATCACTTTGTGCCTACCAATACAAATGTTTTTACTTTGTATTTCTACAAAGAAGGAACAGTTTGCTCATTCATTGACATTTGCCCTGACATTTTGATGTGTAATTACTTATGTAAACTAAATGGCAGCTAGAATCACAATAAGTATGGAACAACAGTACTGTAAAATATTGAGATACCAGGGACTCTTACTGCACCGACTGGCAGATGAACACTGGACTCCTTTTAAAACAGACTTAACTACCTCAGATCCTTAAAGTTCAGATTATTGCACTGGCAAAATCAGGACATCTAGTGGCCCTGCAATAGAAGTGTACTCTCAACCTAGGCCCCTTGGTACAGCAATCTGATCTCAGATTCAGCTGTTTGGAACAACTTGCAGCCATACTTTCTTCAAAGTTAAACAAAACAATATTATCTTTAATGAGCTTGACCTTGCATGTCCTGAAAATACAAGATTAGGTTGGGCAAACAGCCTGACATTACACGAGGAGACTCCACTGCAGTGCTTTAACATCTTCTGGAGGTTTGTGGGACACTCCCACACTTGAAATGGGCTGCAAACGGAGGCGCTTGCTGCCAATACCAGTCTTGGACAGCTGACTGGGACAAAGAATCTTCTGACAGATGGACAGCTAGCATCACTTTTCTAAGAGTCTTCAAGAAAAGTGTTTGTACATCACATCCACCCACCTTCTCTCCTTCGTTCGGGTTCTTATCTGGGTGATACTTCAGCGCCAGCTTCCTGTAGGCTTTTTTCAGCTCGTCAGCACTGGCATTGGGTTTAACACCCAGCACGTCATAATACCCGGTTTCTTTCACCATTGCTGCCTTACTGTGCAGGATCTGCAGAAGAGGAAAATGTGGCACATTTCCTGCATCAGAAATGTATATCAGTAGATTTATACAGCCCTTAAAAATGATTATTTCCACACTGTGTTATAAAAATGTGCAGTCTGGGATTTTCAACTATGTAAGCCCACATTTAGTGCATCAATCCAAATCCTAGCTACTGGTCCGTTATACAATTTGATAATACTGACAATGCACTGTATGGAGAAAACGTGCACAATAAAGTCTGCAGCGATTTAAATAATTAATCAACACTGATATCAAATAGTCTCCTAAACTGGATGTGGGATTTACAGTTGATTCTGCACACCTGTTCATCTTTATATACATGCAGGCAGGGTAGGAAGGTTTGTACCATGAAAACAAAAACTAACAAGAGCAGAATAAGCCCACCATGCAGACAATGAACACAGCCTTACTTCATATGCAAACAAACAGGGAGGAATCTGTTGCGAAACAATTTTCATAACCTCTCCAAGGCACATAACGAGCTCTTTGCTTTGCATTAGCAAATCTTCCAGATAACCACAAGTTTACTGTACATGGATAACCACGTGAGAGCACAATTCAACTCGGACTGTCCGCAGGTAGTTCGTCATCACTGGGTTTCCTGACGACCTGGGTCTAGACTCCCATCAGCCGATGGAAATCTGGTGAATTCTACCCGTCGGGCAGTTACTAAGCGACAGTGACATATGTGACCTCGTACTGTATTTAAGATTTCTAGAGCCCGGAAGAAACAACTTTCCACGCCTGGACATAACGCGCAACGCGAGTATAGGGGACTAATTTACCTTGAAAAACCTTCGAGAACCCTCTTGCGCAACAACATCAACCCCACCACCTCCACCTCCCACCCGGACCGCTCTCTCTAACCCGATTTGCTTAAAGACACCTAGGAATTTAAAACAGACATTAAAATTCAAAATATGTACAACACTTGCGCTAAGAATAGAAGAAATTTAAACATTTTAGAAGAGGGCCATAAAGACACTAGCCATACACCCTGCCCATTTGTAATATTATTTTATTAAAATGTCATTAATACTGTAAATGTAATACTCACACTTAGAATTAAGCATATACAAAGAATATATGTCACTGTCATCTCAAATGTACCTACTGTAACTGCGAACGGAACAAGTATACTCACACTTTATAATTCAGGCACTTTTCCCAAGGAATCCAAAACGCGGAGCGTTACACCACACGTTTCCTATTAGAATATACACTTCAAGAAAACTGTACGGGCGCTATAAACCTTTGGTTTAATCGACTTACAAATTAAAGTTCGACTCTCCCCCCTCCTCCACCCTGGCAACGAAGTTCCAGAACCTTCTCCTTCCCTCCTTCCGCCGACACCCGGATTTTGTAACACAATGGTTCGTGACGTAACCGGCCGCACCGCCCACAACACGTAGGGGTCTGTGCTGATATGCTTGTGCCGGGCTCTGATTCTGCAGCAGTTTTTCATTTTAGTGTGTGCAGACATATCGTATAGCAATATCCAAGCCACTTTTGCTAGGTTATTTCGCTTTTAAATCATTGTGATCATTTTAGACCCTAAAACTACCCACCAATACTCACAACGCATCCTCCAACTGGGTGGCCCAGGCTCGATTTTTATGTCTGGTTTGTTCGTCATTAAATAAAATCGCAAACTTTTACTTTACTGACTGTAATTTTAGGTTGACCACGACTGCACTCCGCGTTCAAAGGGACATTTCGAATCAGAACGGGATTGTAAAAATGGATTGAAAACTAATGACGTGGACCTCAAAATTGTGCACTAAACGCCTTGGTGAGATGAATAATACCGTCGTTTACTAATCGTGTGCATTAAATTCACAACGCCTACCAGCAGCTACTAATTTGTTCTGGATAGTTACTAAGTTGACTCTTAAATACAATATTGCATGACTAAAGCTAAAGCTTTATCGTATTACTACAAATTATACAAGCAGTAAAAATAACATAAAATTTACAATAATATACTTCTGAAATATTTCTTCAGTTATTGTCCTTTGGCCAATTAAGGTAAAGTTTAAGTCTAGAAACCCATCCCAACCAGATGCGTACTATAGGAATGGAACTGTAATTAAGTAATGAGAAATAACTCTTAAGAGGGCTTTAACTTGTATTATCAGTACTATCGCGTCGCCTACTGTAGTAGTGGATTTTAATTTCTGCACAAGCGTTGTCAGGTTGTTTTTAGTGTAGTTTGTCCTTCTTCGCGTGTTGTACATTGACGTCATCCGCGTTTGCTGACGTTGATTTGCAGTTCCAGTTTTCTCAGAGGAAAAAGTGCTACTCGTACATTAAAGGTATTTATTTTTTAATAAAATACTGTTATAGACAGTCTGTGAATGAATGTTTTATAAAATAGGAGAACATTAATCCGATTTTGCTTTTGAAGTGTTTAAAAATCGTCAGAAAGTGATGATTTGGTAATGCCGTTCATGGTACCTGCTGGGGTTTAACTTGGTATCTTATGCTGTATACTGTATGCTGCTTCAAATATGTAAATAGTAGGGTAAAAATTACTAGGATGCTGTAGTGGTGGTTTCCAGTTACTTTGATGGATTTGGAAAGATACAATGGAGACCGATATTATTTATTCAATTTCAAACTACCACCGAAAATATTCGCCATTAATATTTAGTACAGAAACTTTTAGAAGAGTATCCAGCTCTCGCCTTAGTTTTACTGAAATGTTTTGTATACCATTTAAAATTGAATCAATCCGGTTTTGCTAGTTATTAACCTGTGCTTTAGATGCGATGCCAGTGTCAGATCAGCCGAAATACCCCATGTACAGTAAATTCTTAAATGCTGAGCTGCATTTTATGCAATAATGGGATCAACTAGAAAAAAGAACCCTAAAACATATGCAAGTTTGTAAAGAATGTCTGATATTCTTGAAGAATAATGACAGCATGTCTGATTGATGAGCACTGACAAAATATAAGTCCTTTGAAAATACTTATATGTAATGCTTATGTCATGTCATTTGCCAAACCGCTTTATAACACAAGGTGTCGCGGGAAGCCGGAGCCTAACCAGCAGGCAACGAGCACAAGTCAGGGCACACCCTGCCCGGTGCGCCAGTCCATCGCAGGGCAGGTGCAAACCAATCACACATGGGGACACTTTGGAGGCATATAATAATAACAAACTTTAAAAAATGTAGTGATTAGCTTAACAAGACTTGCTTGCCAGTAGGATTCTATGGGACAATCAGAATTCTTTCAACACGTATAAGCAGAGCTGGACACAAACTAGGAATAAGATGTGTGTGTATATATATAGTATGTTTAGATTTAGAAGGAGTTTGAGAGTATTCTGCAAAAGAAGATATAATATATCATTATAAATCATATATCATATAAATATAACATTTAAATAGAAGGTTGTTTTATTAAAATTGTACAATACGCTAGTAAGATCTTATTTAGAATATTGTGAGTTTAACAGGTCCGCTTAGGTCTTCACAGCCCTCAGGTATTAAAAAGAAACCAAAGGTGTAGCAGATTGAAGGAATAGCAAGCAAGGGTCTCAGCAGTGCAGTAGCTGCTAAAATTACTGGGAGTCTTAAGAATAGTATCATAAGTGGTCACTGAGTCTCTTTGTGTACCACAGACCATGAATTGTCAGCATGTCTTACAGTTGTACATTTTTGTCACCCTCTCTAAAGGACAGGGAGATAATGCGGGTTTGCTGGCTTGTGAGGAAAGATGGATGCCACGCACCTATCAGATTGCCACATCTGCAAACGGTGATCCTAGGTCGGGGCCCAGAAACGACGATAGTAGACAAGAAATGCTCGAGAGAACAAGGTAACGTAAGTAACTCAAGCCGGCCTTTCCACTCTTCTTTCCCCGAATTCCACACCCATGATTTCAGTCAGCATGTTAATCAGATCAGTAAACGTAAACTTGCTGGTTTTGTGAATTTCACAGTGTGTTGTGTCAGCAGTTGTAGGGTAGTGTCGAGTCTATAGTCAGATCTGCCAAAGGCGGCAGACATCCAAGCACTGGATATATTGATCTCAAATGAGTGTTAACCCCATTTTTCTAAAAGACTGGCTCATTGAATGCTTTTTACACTGAGAGACATGATGTCAGCAAAGGTGTCCTGCTACAGTAGGGTGTTACGATGCACAGCCTCACACAGGACTGCCGAAATATCTTCCCTGTGCAACTGCTTTCCTCACATCTAACCCAGAATTTGGCTTCTAACCCAATCCGTTGGATGTGGTTGTTGCCATAGCTGTTCGGGAAAGTTGCAAATGAACAGTGAGGTTAATCCTCCACTGAAAATGTTTCTTATTTTCGGCTGTCAACCCTCAGATAAGACATCAACAGTAAGCAAGTAAAAAACATTCTCCCCAATTTCTAATTATTCCACTTATTAGACGGAACGATATATTAAATTATATTTGATATTAAATTTGATTCTTTTTGTAAATAACTTTAAAGATACTAAACAGCTGAAAATTTGCGTTATTACATTTATTTTGGGGGCTACTACCCAGAACAGAGTTAGATTGGTGTCTCCAAAGGCTTGGGTGTTTGTTTCTTATCATGGACACCTGGAGAGGTGAGACACAGACTTCCATCGTTGTTCAGGTAGTCTAGTTCGTCAGGGGAAAAGAGCTACAGTCACAAGCTGAGTTGTATGTTGCTCATGATGTTGCAGATATAAAGTATTTCCCATCTGACATTATTTAAACTGTGCTTTCACATGGTGTGTAATGTCTTTTGAGTTATTAGGTATTTCTTGTTCCCCTGCATTCTATCACAAGGGAGATTTAAAACATGTTTTTCCTCTAAGAAATGCAGTTAGCAATCTGCTGACTGCATGAAAAGCTCTATCTGATATTACTCCCTCTTTAGTTTAGTTTGGGGAAACATTTTGTTTGATCTTTGTGAATTCAACTTTTGTTTTTCCATTTCTGTGTACTTTTAGTTCATCTCAGGGCAGATTACAACAAAGGATACATCACTGTGAAGCAGGTGGGTGCCTAACGTACAAGAGTGATTTAAAAGGTTTGACTAGTTGAAATGCCTTCTTCTTAGAAACTGATTGCTCCAAACCCACATGGAACAGTGGACTCATTGGGGATCATTTTCAAATTGAAGAAGCTTGATGTGACACTTCAGTTAAATAGAACTTGAAAGTTAATCCTGTATATTTCGCATGCCTCTGAAGTGTTTTCTACTGAATTGTAATAGTTGTGTTCCTCTATTGCTTGTTATCTCTTAAGTGTGTAGTATTTGTTTGGTTTATTCATTAGTGCATCTTGCTGTATGTGTGCAAGTATATTCACCTGTTTATGTGTGTTTTTATGTTGCTTCAAATACATGCTGGGGAATGACCAATGTCCAATACATAAGTATACTGGAATTTTATGTAAACCATGTGTACTTATGTGCCATCTCTGCACTTATTTATTTTATCCAACAAGAGACATCTTTCTTGAATATATTATAGTCTTTACCATGAGTGTTACCTTAATCACCTAAATAAACCTAATGAAAGGTAACAGGTAGGAGGAGGCTATGCAGCCAAATCGTTAGTAACTTGTTGATTTAAGGATCCAGCCGTGGCTTGAAATAAACCAGGGTATCAGCTTCAATAGCATGGCTGGTCAGCTTGTTCCATACCCCCACCACCCTCTGGGTAAAGAAGTGCTTCTTGTTCTTTGTTTTAAATGCGCAACCACGTAGTTTCAATTTGTGCTCTCTGGGTCTTGATTCAGTGCTCTTTCTTGGTTGACTTTTTCAGTGTCTTGCAGAATGTTGAGTACTTGAATTCAAATTCAAGTATCTGAACAGTGGTCCGTCATTAAGAATTCACTGCATTTCTGTGAATGGTCGCTTTTTTTTTTACTAAAGCACTGATGCACAGCTCTGCTCCAGGGTTACTTTCTGTAGGTTTTATTTTTTCAAAAGCCATTGTCATTTATTTTAATTAAGGCATTTACTGTAATTAGAAGTGCAACTGGAACTGCCAACAGGAAGCACTGTAATCTGGGAGGATGAGAGCCGTTCACCACTGATAGTGGTGCTTGTACTCAGCATTTCTGTGCAGTGTCGTGGGGCGGATGGTCCTAGGGAGGTATAAATATTTCATTTTTTCATTTTCATTGTTTTCTCTTGCAGCTTGGTGTAAATCCCACTAGCGTGGACTTGGTGGAGGTGGGCAGAGGAAATGAGGTCAGTTTTCGGCCTGGGCAGCTACTGCACGTTGTCAATCAGCTGTACGCCTACACAGTGCAGTTCAGTAAGGAGACCTCAGACAGCACACCCTCTCCTGGCCCGGAGGAGACGTCAGGCTCGAAGAGGCCACACCAGCCTAGAGTAGAAAACAGAACCTCAGATGGCAGAGCCCCCAGCAGGAAGATTCCCAGGACAGGCGAGCCAGAGGAGAACTCTGATCCCAGCAGCTATGAGAGGCTGCATGTCTCGCCTGCTCCTAAAAACCCAGCTGACGCCCCAGAAAAGAAGGTGAATGTCCTTGTAGAGCCAGTGAAGAGGAGAACTGTCCAAGCAGTTCCTGAATTTACAGATGTAGAGGAGAGAGTGGATTCTGGGTCCGCTCCCAGCGAGAGAGTTGAACCCTGAGATAAAAGCAATTACATACGTTCATGTCAGATGATTATATAGTTGTACTAAAAGGCATTTTTCAACTAAATGTTTGTTAATGATGAATAATTTCAATTAGTAATTAAATTAGTAATTGTTATCAGTGGTCGTGCATATAAAATGCACAGCTCTTCAATCATGTTCCTCTCACTGAGCCTTTTCAATGCCATTTATTTTAAAGTCTAGTGACATTACCTATATCTTTTTTTCATTTTTTTAGGTTTTTAGTTGATTCTTATTTGTAGACTAATTTTTTTATTGAACTATTTTTTTGAATGAATTTAAATAAGCAAAGTTGTGCTCACAAATTATTTGCATTGAACATGCAGTTTTTGATGATATTCTTTTCCACTTGTTTTGGTTTAATTTTAGATTGTGTATAGTTTAAACACAAGGTACAGGCTGAGGCAAAGACCCTGTGTAGATTTGTGCAGTACACATGAGACGATGGGAGCTGAGTGGTAGGTGTCTCACTGTTTGAGACAGATGCATCGGTTACCCAAGCTCTACTAATATTCTCTGTACATAACTGGTATGTGAAGTGTATACTGTCTCGGACACACTGTCAAGCTACCTGTTGCTGGCCATGCCAAACTAATTTGTCTTAATTTTAGAAGCAGTATATATTACTGAGATGCGTTAAACCAAAAGCACACAAATTAAGAGCACAGAAATAGAGAGCAGCCTATACTGTTACTGATAAACTAAAGTATATTTGTGTATCCCAGGCTTTTCTCTTTAAACCCCCTGAAAAGTGTTCCTTGTAGGACCTGTTTCTAACTATAATTTTAGAGATGTGGTCTTTTAGACCTTTTAATATTTCTTTATTAAAGGCAAAAAAATAAATGATCGTGTCCCATTGAAATTTTACTGGGCTTGTTAGGGTGATGTCAATCAAATACTGTTAGCACAGAAATACATCACCTGACACTGTAGCATAATCACCAATTTTCATTTTTACAGCAGATTCAGGGACATTGGAGTCAAGGACTAAAAGCTTCCATGCAAGACCCAAAAATGCAGGTAATGCAATTAACCTAGATATTTACTTTTATATTGTTTTTTAGCAGATAATAAGCTTGTTACATACTCATGCAAAGTTGCTGTTAAAGCTGATGCTTGGGCTTCCTTCAAAAAAACAGCTGAATGAGATCCCTAAGTAACTAACTGCCAAACACATTGGATTGGCTGAATGGCCTACTCTTGCTTGTCACCTTTCTTAAGAATGGCAGCAGACAAGAGGAACCTGTGGGTGTAGAACATTGAAGCATCTGAAAAGGTTTGAAGCCCACTCGCTGACACAGCTCCCTGCTAGAATCAAATAATAAATATATAATACTGTATTTTCATAAGCCACAAAGAAATCTTACAAATAAGACTGACCTTTTTATGAAGCCATGTATACTATGTCCAAAAATCACTCTACCATATAATCCCGTGCTATATCACTGTTCGGTGTTGAACTATTGAAATACGTGTTTGTTGCTGCAGGTGTACAAAGATGAGAAAGTGGTTGTCATAAAGGATAAATACCCTAAGGCCAGGTATCACTGGCTGGTGCTGCCCTGGGAGTCCATTTCTAGCCTGAAAGCCCTGAGGAGGGAGCACGCAGGTCTGCTGAGGCATATGCACAGCGTGGCAGAGAAGATGGTGCGGGACTGTCCCGACTCTGGCAGCCTGCAGTTTCGTCTGGGGTACCATGCTATTCCCAGTATGAGGTAAAGCTCTGGTGGAGAGTGATGTGCCACGCTTGGCAACACAACCAGCCTTTCACTGTCATTGAACAACTCATGGGATTTGTTTTCAAAATGAAGTTTAACTGACGGCGTTGCGAACTATTACAGGAACAGAGAAACGTCTTTCGGCTATTCCAAAAGGCTCTGTAACTACTTCAGATTTGTACACTTCATTTGTAAATGTATCTCGGTGTATCTGAGCTGGACATGAGATTTTTGTAATATTATCTCAACTTGCTATAAATAATTTCTCACATTATTTTGTCAAGTCAGACTCTGGGAAAGCATATTTGTTGCTTCTCAAGGAATTAACCCCTTTACTGTTGTTTTACAGCCACGTTCACCTTCATGTAATTAGCCAAGACTTTGACTCCCCTTGCTTGAAAAACAAAAAACACTGGAATTCCTTTACAACTGACTATTTTCTTGAATCCCAAGGTAAGATTGTTTCATATGTACTGTATAGCACACGCTGTAATGGATAGCCATTAAATGATATGCTATAAAGTACCGATTGCATCTGCCTAATTCCCAAGAAACTAGAAATGTAAATGTTCATTTGTGCTATAAATTGTTTTATTTCAAACTGGACTAATTTGTTTTGAGTCTCCTGCTCTGCTCTTTTCATATCTTATATGGGGATGGAAGTTGAATACTTGCAAAAACTAACTGCAATTCTTATGAATCTGTCACATCCTTACTTATGTGATTAGGATGTTGTTTTATATTGATTGTTTAAGCAGGCGTTTGTCCAGCTAGATGGTTCAATTAAAGGGCACAGCTGCTGCCACTATGGTATGGTGAATGTGCCCCACATTATCAGTTCCTTTACGAAGCCACTCCTTTTGTCCTTCCCAATAGAAGGACATGGTATCCACTGGAGACAACTACATACAGAAGAGCTTTGCATTTGGTTGAATAAGTAAAGTAGCTGGAGGTGTCACAGAAGGAAAAAATATTTTTTTTAAAAAGGAGAGCTATCAAAAGGTCCAAGCTGGAAGGAGTTCTGCACGGGATGAGTGCAGCTCTCCTTGCCTCTGTGGGCTCGGAGCACATACAGGGGATAACTACACTGTCCAGATTTCAGAGGGGGTGGGGTCATCACTTCTGCACCTTGCTCAGTGCTCTGTTATACCACCGTCACTACACCATAGGACAGGACACTGAGACACAATTATACTTGATTTCATTACATTGTTTTTTTTTTTGCTGAAGTTTAATTAGCAGAGGAAAAAAATGTGTATCAGCACTATTTGAAGTGCCTCTTCTGTAATGGCATTACTAAAACACGCCGTTCTCATCGGCTGTCTTAAATGCTTATTGGATTTTGTGCTGCAGCCGTCATGGAAATGCTGGAGCAGAATGGGACAGTAACAGTACAGGATGGGATCAGTGAGTTACTGAAACTGCCACTCCGGTGTCACGTCTGCCAGAAAGACATGCCTACAATCCCTCAGATGAAACTACACTTGAAATCTCACCTGCCCCGCTGAGCAGGGAAGGGATGGAGAAAGTACTGACATAGATGCGGGCAGTCACAGCAGCTGTGAGCCGGTGACTGCGGTGGAGACAAAGGAGACAGGGACTGTCCTTCTTCTAGGGTGTAAGCTGAGGCCTTAATCCCATGACTTGGAAGAGATCTTAGCACGTCTTACAGATGATGTTGGAAACTGTATGTTCTTCTGTCAAATGGAAATTTACAATAGTTCTGTATTACACAAACACAAAAGGCACTGGTTATGTGCGTGTTAACTGACTTTCAGGAAAGGAGGACTGCTTTTGATCACTTAAAGTTTCTGTTTGTGGTAGGTTCCCATTGTCTTCAGTTTTTTTTGTTTTTCTACCACTAGATGTTAAGAGGGAGCAGTCAATTTATTCTGCTTTGGAAAACAAATATTGGTTATAAAACATTTGCAGAGTCCAAAATTGGTATTTTCTGTCATTTGTTTCATTTTCCTGAATTCATCTGCATTGTAGCTACCAACATATTTCCTGTGCATATGACACAATCATATTTTCATGTAGTATAGTGTTCTGTATGAACTTAGATTTTTCTCTGGAATTTCTGGATAAGAAATTTATCAGGAACATCACATTTTGCCTGTATAAACCTAAATTACGTAAAACTTATTAGGCAGTAATTGTGTGGTAACAAAATAGTTACACTTAACGGCTAATATAGATATCCTGCATACCAAGCTGTTTCTTTCAGTACAGAAACCTGTTTCTGAAACATGTTTACGTTTTTGGCTGCAGTACTATTGCCATTACCTTGACTTGAATGACTTAAAATGTAAAACATTTTAGTACTGTAAAATAACAGTAACGTTGCATGGGTCTTAAATTTGAGTGTGGGGCATATACAGTTTTCACATAGTGTAAAACAGTTTCCCAATTGTATTACAGTATATACTTATAGAAATTGTAAAAATGTAAAACAAAATTAACATAAATGTAATAAACAGTGATGTATAAGGAAAAAGTTGAACTCTTAACTGTCAGCTTTTATCCGTGGGAAACTCGCACAGCGTTTTAAAACAAACCCGCACAGCCTTATTGACCTCCATTGTTACATTGCACCAACGCAAATTGAATTCGTCATAAAGGATCATCATCTGTTGTATTGACAACCGTATTTATCTCAAATCTCGGTATGGATCAGATATTTACACATTGTGTGAAGCTTTAACTTCGAAGATGTAAAAATGTCGGAACTCGATCAAAGAGACGGCCTGATGGACCCTATTACTCCAACTAAAGGTCCTGCGAAAGTCGCTAAATTGATCAAGATAAATTCCAATGAAGGCCCAAGCGCTCCGGACAAACACCCAATACCCAAATCCCAACAACGCGTCGTCGTTAAGCGCACCAAGGCCGTGATCATAGATTTGGGAACAGGATACCTAAAGGCTGGCTTCGCAGGACAGCCCGGACCGTCCTGTGTGATTCCCAGTGCGGAGGGGGTAACGCGTCGGAGATCGGACGTGGCCGGGTTCAGCCGCCGAGAGAGCTTTGTTGGAAAGGAGCTCCTGCAGAGACCGGACTTGGAGTGGACGGCGCCTCTGCAGCACGGCATTGTGACCGACTGGGAGGCGGTTGAACGCCTGTGGGAGTATGTCTTCCAACAAGAGCTGCAGGTCCCATTCGAAGAGCATGCGGTGCTCGTTTCCGATCCCCCCCTGAGCCCCACAACCAACAGGGAGAAATTCGCAGAACTGATGTTCGAGACATTCAGCATCCCTGCTATTCACATTGCCTACCAGTCCGTATTGTCCGTGTACTCGTACGGCAGAACCACGGGCATCGTTTTAGAGAGCGGGCACGGCTGCTCTTACGCGGTTCCCATTCACGACGGCTATCACATGCCAAGCCACACCGGGCGAGTGGACTACGGCGGCCAGAGTCTCGACGCTTACCTGCTGAGCATGCTACAAGATTCGGGTAAGACGATCCCAGACAATCTACACAGCATTGTGGAAGATATCAAGAAGAAATGTTGCTATATCTCGCTTGACACAGACCACGAAATGTCTTTGGATAAAAATGATTGCGCAGTGGACTACGAGCTCCCAGACGGGCATTTAATTTCTATTGGCAAAGAGCGATTCGCTTGCCCAGAAGCCTTGTTTCAGCCCATCGCGTTAGGTTCCAGGGAACCCGGACTGCAGACAATGGTAATGAACTGCATCAACAAGTGTGACATTCAAATTAAGAAGGATTTGCTCAAGAATATTGTCGTCTGTGGCGGTTCAACAATGTTCCCGGGATTCCCCGAACGCCTGCAGTACGAACTTGACAAAATTGCTCCCAAAAGCGAAGCCGCGGTCGTGGCGGTACCTGAGCGCAATTACGCAGTGTGGAGAGGGGGCTCCATTCTCGCTTCGCTCCAGGCTTTTCAGTCACTCTGGGTTCGTAAGGAAGAGTACGAGGAGAGGGGACCTTTTATCATCTATCGAAAATGTTTTTAAAAGTTTCCACAAAATTGTATGGCGACAAGTTAAAGTTACAAAGTCTTTAGAGTTAAGTAAACGAGAAAGAAAAGAATGTCCAAGGACTTCATCTTAAAATTCGCTGAACAAAAACCAAATCGTTTCTTGTTACCCGTTATCGTTTGCTTTCAGTAGAGAAAAAAAAAACAACTTGGGCATCCATGTCCTACCAGGTAACAAGTTCATACCTTTTCTATACACTTTGAGTAGCTGGTTAATATAATGTATCAGCATAAGCCCTAATGAATTATACTGGAAAATGTCAAGCTAATGTAAAGTCAAGAAAAATGATAAATTGGTAAATCGACCTCCCGGGATTTAAAATAAATGTATTTAAAATTAAACAGGAAAGACTGAAAAGTATGTTTGTGCAGTATGTCACTTACTCCTTCATGCCATTTTCGTGATGCGTTTAGCGGTACAAAATAGTTTTTATTAAAAAGAAACAATAAAGACAAAAATTATATAGCAAGTGAAGCATGTTAATAGTGTTACAATATGTAGCACCACCTTTGACAAACATGACTCGCTTGCTACTTGAGGTAGCAATGGTTTATCATATTCACCAATAGCTGAGCATTCCAGAGAATATCAGATGTTTTTACTGTACTATAATACTTGCAGAATCGGCGGGATTAATGAGTTATTACTTAACCAGGGATCTCCAGCCTTGCTTCCGGAGATCCCCAATCCAGTTTATTTTACAGGACACCTAAATCACCTATTAATTAAAAATGAGAAACCCTCGTTTAACAAATTGATCATTTAAACAAGTAATGATTGAATGAAGGGAACACTGAGGGCTAACGGGTAGTCTGATTTTGTTATTGGTGATCTCTTAACTACATAAATTAACACGTCATCTTATTTATCTAATCATAGTTAAATTGTTTCAGGGCTTTGGAAGTTAATCATTTAAAATCTACCTATAAAATCCTCTGGACAAGCGCTGTCTTGTACCAGGGTTGGAGTCTGTACTTTTGAGTCAAGACTTCTGAGAAGCAACACTCAAAACAGTGAAACTTAAACGTTTATTGATGCTTTATTGTGCCTGGCGTTTTAAATACAAATGTGTCAATGTGGCCCTGTACAGGTAGTCTACTGCAGGAGATTAAGCTTCCATTTCATGTTCTTTTTCATTTTTGGAGGAAAAAAGATCTCTGCATCTAAAAAAAGAAAATATAAAATATGAGAGACCTACATTCAATGATGTGATGTATATTGTACACTAGCTTTTAAGAAGAAAAAGAGCAAACGCAAATCTACTGAGGCTGCACAATGGAATGACCTTAATGAAGCTTTTTAAACAGGACTCCCAAATAAATCTGTTACATATCTAACATAGATCCAGAACTGACTATACTGGAGATTGCAAGTCAGCCATGAGTTTCAAATTGTGTCTTACACAACACTGTATTTTTGTGTATACATGTCTATTAAATGTTTTGATCTAAATCTAAAGATGCATCTTGAAAGGCACTATTTCAAGATGCAGCATTATTAATCTTCCTTAAAAAACAACTTGGGACTGTAACAAGATATTTAAAATACCCTTTGGTAGGAGTTTGAAATAGAAGCTCCACAAATCCTGCTCGACTTCCTACTGCACATTCCTTCAAAACAAAGTGGTAATACATACCCTGATGTAATGGTGTGGATGCTCTCTGCTGCTGGTATGAAGCCATGATGCTGTTTGCTGTTGAATTAGGTCCCAGGACCTTAAAGCACAACATTTACATTTTCTTAGCATTTATCCATTGTGACGTACTGTACAATCACATCCAATCATGATAACAGCAGGGAAAAAAAAGAATGAAAACATAACTCAAAGACCGTGAGGATTCCTGCACTGCAAACTGACAAAAATATCAAAAAGCCTACACAAAGGAGGGCGTAATTCATCCTTCAAATATTGCCGACGAAGGAATGCAAAATTAAGTTATTTGGACAATAATTCTATAACTACTAAAAAGATGACAATATGAAAACATGAGAATCAATCACTCATAAAGGAAAGGCTGTGCCAACTCTAACAGGAGGCGGAAGAAAATAAGCAACTATTTTTAGGAAATTAAGTGCAAATCCTTGCAAGCCAGATATGGCAAGGCACAGCTTCCTAGCAAAAAGACTCTGGAAATGATCCTTCAGCACAGATCACAAGTATGCCATAGCCTATGTATGAATTCAGGACTGCACAACCTGTCACAATGGTCCTATATATGCTATTGCATTGCTGTGTCATTTTTCTTCTGCCTATTCCCCAGTCTTCCATCATTCTGAATGGTGAAACATGATGTGTTGTTTGAGTACAGACCTTCCCTTCACACAAGCAGCCAACACTTACAGAGAGTGAAAACCATGTTACTTAAATCACCATAATTCTAACCCATAACCACACTGGAAAATGTTAATAGTATAAAATGGAAAGGGGAGATGTATGATTATTGTTTTCATTATTTGAAACATCCAATAATAAAATATAATTCGATGCACTCTAATAATAGCAGGAAAACATTTATTACTGTGTGACAACTGCTGACTTCAACTACAATCATACCAACTACACCCACCCTTGCAGTCACAAGCTTGAGTTTTACTGCGGTGGGTGCTATTTATATGACAGAGGTGATAGCCATGAGAAATACTACCCACGTTTAGGATCGCATTCCTCTGCTCCTGCTCAAATCCAGTTTCTCTGATTTTTGTCCATGTACAGTAAGTGACCTCATCAACGAATCCTTGAAATTAGTACCTTGTACCTGCAAGCTTAAAGTCTGCTGTCCTTGTGTTGAAACAAATCTGGTCTGCACTCTGAAGTAATTAATAACCACTGTGCAAATTCCAATTAACCCTTTCCTGCTTAAACTGTGGGACAGATGAGTTCAGTTCAATTGCAATATCGTCTTGCATTTAATAACCTGGTGAACCTTTCTTCCTGGGTCAAGAACAAACTCTGTACTGAAACAGAGTATGATTTGCTGGTGAATAAAAATAAAGAATATTCTGGTCAGGTTAATTTTCTTCTCCTGTTCTAATGTGTAAATACTGATTCTATCAATCATGGTTATTTTATTGGAGCAAATGAAATACCTGAGAGTTACTGGCAAGTCCTTTTGATGTCTCTTATCGCAACAGACAATTTCTAAATCTTGGCTGTTTTCAGTCTGTTGATGTCCCAGTTAACCTGGGTGCTTAACCGGGTTCTCTGTGCTGGGACCTAAACTATTTAGCATTTACACATTGCCTCTAACTCGGATTATTCACCATCATCAGCTTGGATTACATTGGCAAACTGATGACACAGGGACGTATTAGCCAAATAAATCAGATACAACTGCTGTGGTTTCTTCAAATTACAGCTGCCTGTGATTAAGATATAGATGCTGAGCAATTTTTCTGTGATGCTGACACTTCTGAATTGGAACCCTTATCTGAAGTTACCTTAGTGTTTCCGACACTGTAGTGTCATTCAAATCCCTGAAATGGTAACAAAGAAAGAAAATCGAAAAAAGACGAATTCCTAATGCAAGAAACTGTATATGGCTAATAAAGTGATCTTATCTTATCTTACTTCCCAGTTGAGGTCTTTGTTCTGTGGGATGCTGAAAACCTGCTACAGGCTTTTATTTAATCATATCGATTACTTGATTACTGGAAAATCGAATCTCCATGGCTTCTGACTCTTGTGCACTGTGCTTATGTTATTGTTTTCACATTGCTGGTAATTTATATAAATTGCATCTCCAAAGTGTGTTATGATCTACTACTTATTGCGCAAATAACACAAGCTCTTTTTTTTTGTCAACAATATAGTACAGATACTATACTATGTAGCCAAATAATATATTCAATAGCTACTAAACACATGCCACACTGTAATCAATAAAATTTCCTTTTTAATTTCACATTATTACTGTCAGGTATATTATTAAATACAACACTCAAGCTGTGCATGGGCAGCGGATGAAATGGCAACAGTCAGATGCTGAGTTTTGAGGTATGGCCTTCTCTAGGCTGTGTCTGGGTGGTGTGATGCAGCTTCCACTACTTGATTATTGAGCCATCAGTGCTCACTGAGATATCCAAACACTTTGATGTTTTTTACCCTTTTCTTAACCTATGTATTCTAATCACTTTATCTCTGACTTCCTTAAAATACTCTTCATTTTCGTACATTTCCTTCAGATTCACTACCTTATCAATGATCCCTAAACTGGTGTTTTTATCCAGTAAATGTGACAGTCACTTCAATAGTGCATAGGCAGAAGCCAATGGTAAGGCACTTATATCCTTTTTAGGGCAAATTCTTTCACCTTTCTTCAGCTTAGAGCTACCAGAGCACAGGGGTCTGGATAATTACGCAAGCAGCCAATTTCAGTTTTTGACAAACTAATTCTGTCTTTAACATTTTTATGTTTGATCATGCAAATTTGTAATAAAAATCCTGACTGGAAAAAGATGTGTATACATATCACTTTTAATCCAACACCATTTAAATACTATTGCAAGGCACTGTACTGTATATTTAGTCCAGTACTGTGCCAAGAAACAGCGAACCCTTTAAGTTTGGTCTGTATTATTATTGATTTTAGACCTAAAATGTAATTATATCTTCATGAAAGTCTTAATAAAAGATTCAACCGTGTATTAATGTTAACCATTAGCCAGCTGTCAGAGGCATTCAATTTCTGGCACCAAACCTTGCAGTAGACAGCGCCAACTCAGGATCTCTCTCTCATGTCCCTGCAAGTCTACATGAGGTCACAGCAGTTACTGTCGCTTGCCAAAATCCACAAGTTCTGGTTGTCTCATGCCAGCCTAACCCTGGCCATCAGCTTTATTGTGTAGTGTCCCTTGGGGTGTCCTGGTTACAGCTGGTTAGGGTCATGACCCCGACTAAAACTGGTAACAGCAACCAGTGCTCGAAGCCAAGTAGCAAAGAATTCAGCTTTACGAACTGTGATCTCCCTGCCATGTGGTTTACTGAAGGCGTGTGACAAGACTGCGGGCTCACCGGAGTGCTGTCCTGCTGGAGACCCTCCCGCCAGATCTCGGGGATGGCTCTGTCCATCAGCTGCAGCGATTCTTCATACTCCTGCTGCAGCTTCATGGCCCTGTCATCATAGCCAAACAGGACCAGCACTTTCAGTAGGCTGTGCACTTCATCTGGACAGAAGCAACAGAAACCCAGCATGGATTAAATCAAAGTCACTGCACGGCTTTCATTGCAGTTAAAAATTGTGAGAAAACAAATAAGAGACGTACTGTAAGTTAAATTTTAAGCAAGGCTTCAGGTACTTTTTGCTCAGTTTAAATACTGTACATCCTATGCATGTGTGTTTTGAAAGCAGTATTTGAATTATGTGGAATTCACCCACACTACCAAGAATTATATGAGTACTGTTCACTTTCTGTACAAATCAGTCATAGCAACTTGATGGCATAAATAATTATAACATTAAAATATCAAAAAAAACTGTGGCCTATATGAAAAATACAGGTACAAAACATACAGTAAGTTAATATTTTATTTTTTAGATTTCAATAGATATGTTGAGTATAATCTTTTATAAAACTAAGCAAGAATACTGCATATACTTTGTGATCTGTACATGTAAATCAGAGATATCAATATCTTTTCCTGCGGCATTTGCCTTTGTAAGGCGATATATCTCTTACAGAAAACTACACAAACATCCATCTATTAAAAAATAGTTTCCTTCGGTTTTTAATTTACACAAGATCTCAGATGTGTTTTCATCAAAACTGTAACTGTACTTTCTAAGTACTTTTCTAACTGTACTAAGTTGTCATTTCTACATGTACCAAACTCTTCAGACTCACAATCAGACAGTTTTACAGTAATAAGCCATGATCTGACGTCCACGCCAACTCATACACACCGCTGGGTGATGAAAAAAGAGCAAGCAAAGCGAAAAAAAAGGGGAGGAGGCAATATAAAGTCAAACATAAAACAACTAAGTACAGCAAATGATACACGATCTAATGAATAAATGTCAAAATAAAAAATAGGAGTAACAAAAAACAAATCTGATTCATTGATTTGCTTTTTTCAACACGTATTTTTATTTCATTACATTTTTTTTCCCCGTTTATTCATTCGCCTACGTGCCTCTCCAGGACAGCTCACCTGTGAGCTTGTCCACAGCGTGGATGATCTCAGCCAGGGCGCGCAGCAGTGCCAGATCCTCCAGTGGGCTGCCCTCTTTCAGGCTGTGCTTCTTGCGTTCGGCTTTCCGGCGATTCTTAGAGGATCTCCTACAGACAGGCCGAGATGGATTCAAGCATACCAGGGCAGACTGTGGTTTGTCCACGGGTTCAACTCAAAGACTGCCTGCTTTGTGGCACGCCACTTCATAGGATTGTCCAGTATTCGCCAGTTTAGAGTTTCAAATGTTACGGACATTTAATTATATTGAGACAAGTGCTATCCTTTGATACTTTTTATAAAACCAGCTAACTTTTACTCCGGCTTGTAAATTTAATAGGTAGCTCAGCAGAAACAACATCAAAGAGGAGACACAAGTCAAGACATCGTCCATAAAAGAGTTCTTGGCACGTACGCAGAGATCCTGGAGTTGCTATGGGAGTATTTGGAGCTCAGGTTGCTAGCTGTCATCACACTGCTCGCCTCGGAGAACAGCTCTGCATCAGGGCAGTCGGGAGCTTCTTCATCTGAATTCAGCACAGATGACAGTCAGGATATTTAAACAGCATTTCTGGCCCGTTCAAGATCTAAGGTCATGGCAAACACACTGCTCCTGTCCTTCAACTTTGGAGCTGTTCAGTTCTGGCATGCACTGTATACATTAGGTATAGTAGATTAGATATAATACAAGACAGCAAAATATATATTTCACAGGATAAGACGCTTTCCAGATTATATGACTAGAAATGGTAAAACAATGTAAACCCAGCCATATCAGAAACAGTTCTTAGTCTGGAACTGTTTTCCAGACAATAATGCCAATCACTTTGTCAGAAATACCAGAAAAATTGTGCTCACAAACACAATACTTAAAATGAAAGTTCAACGCTAAATCTCAAGTATAACTTAAGCTCTCTTAAGCATCCATGCACAAAGGAGCCCTGGCCTCTGTATTTGAAGGGTTTACTTCTGAGGGGATTTTGATCATGTCTGCTTTGCAATAGTTTGTGAAAGACTAAAAATAATTTGGAAAAGGCATGACAAGTGTCAAAAGTAAATATTAGCAAATAATGAAGTGCTTGACAAGAAAGTGCATACAGGTATATTGCAAGAGCTGGCACTTTCTACAAACACAACAACAGAATTGTAATGCTTCCAAATATGTTAGTTATCTTAGTCTGTGCCCTTGTTAAATCAATAGGTAGAAATAGAAATATGTTTTAAATCGTATTTCCGGCCTGGTTTAACAAGGACTAGGTAAATATGGAACACCTTCAGTGAACAGAATAACTCAGACATCTTCATTTGGGTGTCATGAATCTGTGCCTTAAAGCAAACGCATCAGGATTGGATTGAATTACCCAGGAGCTCCAGCCTAGCCTTCTCTTTCAGTTCCCGTACGACAGCCAGGCGTGTTTGATGACGTATGAATAAGGACCTCTGAGACTCCAGGAAGGCCATCTGATTATTGTGAGCTGCAAGTTACATTCCCCCAAAACAGAGAAGAAATAAAATGATCAATATACTTTAGTTTTTATGCATATAGAGTATGTTTACCTATTACAGGATAAAAGAATAAAAGACATGCTACAGCAGTGCTGCAGTAAAGACTTGATCAGCAACTTCATGGGCTTTACCTTCCAGAAGAGCAGGCTTCAGATTTGTCTCCATCATGTCCAGTCTGTTATATAAATAAACCTACATTAAATGGAAATAATACGTTGTTTTTAAAATACAGTCAATACAATTGTTTTGAAGAGTTCAAAGTGCGTTTTGCTCAGAAAGAAAATGAAATGCCACACATTTTGCAACAATGTACAATACTGAACTGCAACTGTAACGACTTTGGCACCCACATGTGCAGTAACGCACTGCCACTGCTATTGATGAGCAAGTTATGTCTTAAGAAATCGTACCAGACATTTCTTAATTTTAACCTGTACAGCAAGCATACTTTTATTTGAGAAAATCGGAATAGCGATTTGGTACGCTCAATTACAGGAAGAATGAACTTACAAAAACAGTCACAAGAGATGCTATTTCAGATTTCAGAAGAAAGGTGAGGAACTGTATAGTTTATAGAGGAATAAAGCTGGAGGTGAGAAACAGGAAAAGATCTAGTCAATTTCAGGCTGGAAGACTTTTGCACTCTGATAACACTCTTCCCAATGCAACGTATTAGAATGGACGTTTACAAAAATGGTCTCTGATGTTGCTGGCTGGGATAGGCTCCAGCTCCCCTGTCAGTTGGAAGGGTTATCCATGATAGTTTTCTTACCCTACAAAGCCAGAAAATGTGTGCTACTCAAAAAATACATCAAATAAACGGTTACCAGTCTCAGAGCCTCCTCCCAGGCTGCACCCTCAATTAGAGCAGAGATGGCTTCCTCACAGTCCTGAAACAACAGCAGGGAGCTCCATCAACAACAACCTTTCAGCCTTTTTTCCCACCCAATACAATACGATAGGGTCTGGGCATCTGGGAACTTAACATTCCCAAACTCACTTATTCACAATTTGGTTTCGTTGACGGGTCTTGGACGGAAGAAGGGAAAAACGGGATGTAATCGAGCTGAAGGTTGTTAACTGCCAAGATCAAATTCATGGCACCACAGTGTAGGACTGCGAGACAAATGTACTGTAGCTGAGTGAGCCTCTCCCTGCCCCCTGCCCAGAGTACCCACTACCCAGCACCCACATCTCAGCATGGACAGCTTTTTACTAGATTGTAACAAACACTCCTGGTCCTGAGTTGGGGTGAGGGGGACAGTTACTTATGTCTTTTTACAGCACGTACTTCACACATAGCAAGTAATGGTCCACGTTCTTTCAGTCAGTCTTAGTCAAGTTGATTAAAATCTCTATTAGATACAGCCACATCTTAGTAACATACATTTTAGTCAGTCTAGTCAAGTAAAATCACCCTTTTAGTTGACTAAAACTGAATTAGTTTTAGTTGCATTTTAGTTACGCAGATTCTTTTCATAATTGAAACATCTACCAAATAATTACTTGATTTCATTCACGTGATAACGGTCTATCAAAAAGCACAATGCAAAGTGCATTGATCCTCAAAGGTAAAGGTAAAATAGTATTTCTTGTATTTGATCTTACACAGATATTACACAAGTCTTTCCTTATAAGAACATCTATTTTGGCACTCTTAACATAATTCCTTTATATACTGTAAGTATTTTTATATAGGAATTTCAAAGCACTCAAAGCAATATTATTATTATAGTTAATTTATCCAGCAGAGGCCCCTGGCAATACTGGACTACAATAACAATAGGGAAATTACTGCATGAGTTTAAAGAATATAATAAAAACTGGACAGGACAAGCAATCCATATATCCCTTAGCTCACTGGCATTATTAATAACTAACCCTTTTGACTTTGTCTTATTTTATTTTAAAAACTTCCATAGTATAAGAGCAATTTTAACTGTCCTCTTGTCACCTATCCCTGTGGTCACTGTGTGATGTGTGATATGCTAGTGACGCTGTGCTGGCATCGTGCTGACAAAGTGACAGTCCTGTGCTTCAGGTCTTTCACAGCGCTTTCACTCCACAGACAATAGAAATAGAAATAGGAAGGAATGCCTGCATGTGCTACAGAATGTTGGCGTGACAATAATATTTTCCCATAAAACATCCAGCTACACAATCAAACTAAATGCAAATTACAAAACATTATTTTCTTATGACTATAATTCAAATTGTCTTTCTTCATGTACCCTGTAAATGGTCTCATTTAAAGTTGAACTGTAATGCAATTCTTGTATTTATATAAATATATATATGATATATATACACATATATACAGTATTTATAGATGTCATAGATTATATTTTGGTGTTATGAGTGCATCTCAAACCAGAACAAAAGTCACACCTCCAATTTACATAACAAAATAGACAAAATTTCCAGGTATGCAAAGCACCATGTTCTGTGATTCAGAACGAGGCAACAAAACTGGAGGTGACGTGAAGCAGCCCTATTACATTGTAAACAAGCACTTGTGAATACATCTTTTAACTATTTTTAACTCTTTTATCACTTTTAAATGGAACTTACAGTATGTTAACTCTACATGCAGATTGCTTTGGAAACTTACTGTGGTGAAATATTTGCTGCACAACCTGTACTTATTTGCTTGTACTGTACATCACGTTACATCAGTTATTACAGTGACTAGTGAGCAGGAAGGGCCACTCCACGTCACTATTTGTGGGAACTCCTGCTCTCGCCCATGGTGAGACCAGGGGTTTGAGACAACATGGCGACTTACAGTACTTTCACTAAGTTCATGATTTTGTGCTTAATTCGAAATTTGAGAATTTTTCTATACCGTCAATGAATTTATTGTGATACTGAGATTTAATAACCAGTCTGAGAAATAGGGACTGCAGTTCCCTTTAGGTGTAGATCCACACACTCGTTTAGAACCCATGTTGTAAAAAAAAAAAAACATTTGTCATCCCCTAATTGTTTTTAGATCCTCAGAGGCAGTCCAAGCTTTAATGAGATTTATCTGCTTTACATCATCACTCAGGGAGTTACGTCATACATCATACCTTTGCGTACTGCTCCAGCAGCAGGGCTGCCTCTGTGTGTCTGTGGAGCTCCAGCAGTTTCCCTGCAACAGGAAGGACACAGACCGGTCAGAGGCATTATCTTCCACCTAGTGAGATGGCACTTTATTCTATACGCCCTGCAGGGGAATATGGTGTTTCTCCTATTCTCATCACGGAATTTCTATTTGTGTCTTCTGCTCCTGAACTTTGTATTGAGCTTGAATTGGCAGTTTGTAAAGGATTTTCTCAACCGCAAACTTAGCAAATGTCACTATGTTGCAGTCAAACGGGACCCCGTGCTTTAAAATAGGATACACCCTTTCAGTTCTGCCTTTTTCCGTATTTGCCCTAATTTGCAGTGCCCAGAGTTGCGCTGTTCCTTTTGTGATGTGGGCACGCGTGCCATGTCCAGCTGCAGTTCAGAATTATTTTCAATTTTACGTCTCATCAAACAGACATATAGATCAATATTAACCTATAGTACACATTCCTGAGAATTTAGGATGTGGTATATCACAACAGGATAATTGTTTAATACATGGCTTTAGAAGAGACTATACTGTCCTCTTAGTGCTAGAGGACTATAATACGGATTTGAATACTAATCAAGGAAAGGCCCTAACAATAGTATACATATAGCTTAGTCTACTTATACCAGCCATTTTGGTTGCTGCTAGTTTAAAGAAACGAATAGGTTGGTTTAACAGGCTTAATCTTTTCTGAACTCAAATGTGTACAAATGTGACACTATTGAGGAATTCTCCATCTATATTCAGCAGTATATCAGAAACTCCACAAATTTAGTATAGCTAAACCTTTGTAAGAACTCACAAAGTGTGAAAGTTCATTATTACTTCTCTAAAAATGATTTCAAACCAGCACCTTAGCAAGGCAATAAAATCCATCAAAACTAAGGAGAACAGGACCGTCTCTGGCCCTGTGCTGTGCTCTGTACCTGCTAACGTGCGGGCCAGGCCAGCCAGCTGGTCGGGGGTGAACTGGAGCTGGGTGGCCATGCACAAGGCGTGCCGCCAACTGCTGCTGGACACAAAGGCCTCCAGCGCCCTCCGGGGCTGCCCGCAGCGGGAGAAGAGCAGGCCCGCCTGCTCGGGGAGCTGCTGCTCCAGGAGGTGCTCTGCGTAGGCCCAGCCCACTTCCTGCACGCGAGACACAGCGGTTAGTATCTCTGACTGCTGAGGCTCCACAACGACGAGCCCCGCCGACCCCTACCGCCAGCTCATACACACAGCGCTTTGCAAATGTAGAGCAAAGAAGAAGCGTAAAGCCAAGTGAAAACTGCCCCAGTTTTCCCAGTGAAGCTGGTACAGACGTATCCAAGAAGACTTGAATGCTTGGCTATAACTGCTGCCAATGGTGCTTGCCCCAGGCCCTGACTCCTGGGGGCAAACACTTACACAGTCAGCAGCAGAGTTTAGTGTCACATTGTTCTATGCAGTGTTTGCGGACTTCTTTTGCTCACAGAAGTATTCCGTTTAGGGGCTCAGGTTCCGATTAAAAGCATTCGCTTCAACATGAGCATACATATTTGGAATTCAATAAAACTGAGTAGGCACTTCATGTGACACACACTTTCAGAGGAGCAATCCTCTGTTGGAAGACCCCACCCCACCTCCTTGTTACAGACCAACATCAAGATGTTTGAAATAGGAAGAAAGACTGGTAATAACTGCTTGCTATGTCCTTCAAATGAGTGGGGTAACCTGGTATTAGAAAATAAGAAACAAAAATGCTGCACCTACCCTGTACTGCTGGCTGTCCAATGGATACAGCTTAAGAGCCTCACTGTACAACCTCTGGTCCTTCACCAGGTTTAAAAATTCGGCAAAGTGTTCTGGTCCTAGGATGTAATAGCAACAGGGGATTACAATTAAGCTAAGAAAGGCAGAGGATCCCATCCAACATGCTAGAAAACAATACAAGAATTAAAATAACCTGGCTTCTTTATTTTAGGAGCTTTACAGAAAAATCTCAGAATTCTGAATATGATTTTTCCCTCTTTAAGCCACACTATACTTTAAGCTCTGCGTGCTTTAACTGACATAAAACCAAATGATGTGTCTGTGGCTAAATCACCTGGGTGGAAGAGTAGGGGTCACAAAACAGGCAAGAAGCAAACATGAAGTGCAAAACCTGTCACCGTTTAGTGATGTGCTCCTCTGCACAAACATACCCACACGCAGCAACCAAAGGTATAACAAAAATAACAAAACTGTGGTTTCTTCGGTGAATGTGTGTTTGTTCAAATCTATTTTTGTCCAATGCTAAAACTTTTAGGAACACCAGGCCTACAACAAACCCCGCTGTGATACAGCACAGAGAGAAGGTTACACTAATTAGCCGGATCAAGAGATAAAGTGACTGTGACACTATGAGTGCCCCGGATAATATTCTGTCTAATCTCCACCCCGGACTCATCATGAAGGACAGGTAAGAATCCATGTACACCAGAGCTGAGTTGGAGCCAGTCAATAAAAAAGCCAAATAGATGTCTCTTCCTTCACATGTGTTGATAGATGACAACAAGAGGTCGAGCAACAGTGCTGTGTCACAGAGTCATGGCACAGATCTGTTGGACACAATCACATTTTATTTCAATAATGAAAGACAAGACTTGTCTTAATCACACAGTGATTCTGACATTTAGGAGAGCTGTAACAGTTGCAAAGAGGAAAAGGATAATGTGGCTCATTTTTCTAATTTATCACAATTAAGAGGGCACCAACTTGGTTGAACACTTGCCTTGCTTTACTTTTCTGCACTAATACATACATGATTATTTAAAGACCATCTAATTAACTATTAAAGTGCACACAGAGTTGACCCTTACCACACTTGCTGAGGTGTTGTAAAGCTTTTTTGTATCTTTTCAAATGCTTGTCTATTGTGTATCTCTGGTAGTTGGTTTCCATTCTCTTCAAAGTGTTCAGAAAAGGTAGATATTCCTTTGGATCCTTCAGCGGTAGAGAGATACTTAATGGTTAGAAGAATAATCAAAGTGAAAAAATAAAAGTCAATTCAATACAGGATTAAAGTGCTGTACTCTTCCCTCTTCTTCGGCTTTCGTCACTGTCTAAGCAGAAACTAACAAAAATAAATTGCAGACTACAAACAGAATTGGGACCTGACTACTCCCAAAAAAGATCAAAATCCATGTGACCTTTTCCTACACAGGATTAAAATATAGGAAAATAGACATCAATTCAATAATGTCCTCTGTCCTTCATCCTCATAGGCCGATAACATTAAATAACCAATAAAAAACACAAAATATTATATATGCTCTTGTCAAAGCTTTCAAAATACACAAACTGGCTAGTTAAAACCTAACGGGTCAAACAGAGACTCATAAAACAATATGAATCCTACATACTGGGACTTGCAGGACAAAAATCAAGGGAACTGATGACAGTGGGCACAGGAGCTAGCACTGCACATCATAAAAGCAATAGCAGGTGAGATAAGTCCTAAAGACAAAGCGTAGCGCATTCAATAAAACAAGAGGAAAGACAAGCCGTTAAAAATAATGACAAAGGAAATCAAAGCTGTGAAATGGAAAACGTTAGGCACAAAGAGGTCTTGCCGTATTGCGAGAGGCTAGGACAGCACCTAACTACTGCTGGGCCCCTCCCTACCCACCTTCTGGGACTTCTCCGCCACCATGAGCACCAAGTCGAAGTCGTAGGTCCCCAGGGAATGCTCGTACAGCTCGTCGACGTTCACCAGAAACAGCAGGTATTTCAGAGCCTCCTCCGCACTCACTGCACTGGCTATGCTGGGGGGGCTGACTGAGAACACAGGGAAGCAACTGGGATGGACTGCAAACCACATATTCCTACACCCACAAAACCAACTGTACCCCCCTCAATGCTCAAATCCTGAAGAGTTTATTACCACTTCAGGTCCACAGGAGGGGGTATAAGAGCTTCTTACTGATCCGCTCGGTTCAGTTTGGCTACAGATTGCATGACAGACTGAAGCGGTGATCATGCATGTGTCTTTTTATTTGATTATATCGGTACAGAAAAGGGCAGCATACAATTTGTGTTTACATCATGAAAATAAAATTAGTATTTGAGGCAGTCCAGGAAAATTCAAATCAAATACGACACTGTATAAAAAAGCCCCTATCGGGCTGTTGAAACACAGAGGCAAAATAAGAACCAGCTTTTTGTCCTTTCTATTTGAGTTTCAAAAGAGAATATATTTACCTCGAAGCTCGTGGACTTTCTGTAGTGCAGTTTCCAGTTCTGGGACGCTTTTTTTCACATGTGAAGTTAGAATGGATAAATAGTACCTGTTGCAAAAATAAAATATAAACGATTAAAAAACTGGTGCGGTCAAAATTCATTCCACAACAGTGCAATAAAACAATCTGCAGAAATAAGAAGAATTGACTTGCTTGTTTGGATCAACACTCTCCATAGCCGCTCTCAAGGCATCACAGACAATGTCTACTTTCTTCCCACAGGCCCCTGAGGCAGTCTGAGGAGCACTGGATGAAGGAAAAGGGTACATGGTCTTTGTGGTGTCTTCTTCCCTGCAACAAACAGAGAACAGGTACATTTGTTAACACACGCAATACACAAATGTCTTCATGTTTCACAAATACTTCCTATTGTGGTTTAAATGTTAGACATTACTAGTATTATTTGGGAATTCTTAGATCTTGCTTTAGATTTTTCCTAGACAAGGACTTCATACCCTGGAGACCAGCTTGTCAGCAAATCCCACCTTCACCACTACATGACAACAAAATGAACATAAAACACATTCAAAGTTCACTTTGAAAATATTCCCTACAAGGGTGACAAGAGACACTCGACACTCAGAAAAAAGAAGGCACTACCTTCTCTGGAACGAAAGCATCTCAGACTCAACTTTGAACAAACGGTTCGGTTCTGCTGCGCCATGCTGGAGAGATGAGGGCTGAGTGACATCACATCCCCAGAGAAATGAGGCTCTGTGTTCCGGGAACTAAAGCACCACAAACGCCACATCTAACAGCACAAATGGAGCCCAAACAAATGTGGTGGGATTCATTGCGAGTGCTTTTTGCAGGGGGCGG